CCTGTGAAGGTGGCCGAAGACATGCATCACCTGTGGCGGAAGCCGTCCACTTCCGAGCTTCGTGGAACCAAGCGCCCATGTGTCCACAGCCAGAGCCAATGTCCAGAACCAGGTCGCCAGGAGCAAGCCCCACGAAGTTGCCAATCACCGCGTATCTCACAGGGCACGGCAGGACCAACAGATGTCTTTTTGTGACCTTAAAAAGAACCCATGACCCAGGGTATCTTTTGTACGGATAATCTATAGGCTATAGGGCTTTAGGCTTCTTCAACCTCTGTTGTGACATGCCAGGACAGGCTTGCAGGCTTGCAATGGATGATTAGTGCCGGCTTTTCCAGTGTCTTCCTAGGTCACCAAGTGAGACCTGTTTGGGGGCCCTGCCCAACCCTCGCGAGGAGACCTGGCAGGGAGGATGCTGGTATAATAGTGTTTTGGGCTGCCGTCCGACCTCAAGAATCTCGCGACAACAAAAGACACATACCTCCCTCTTCGAGCCTTCAAGATGCTCTCCCCTCCCCAAAACCCAGAAAATCACCCCCCCGACTCCGAAAAGAAGCCCGATCCCTTTCTCTTCCCCCCCTTTTCCCCGAGAAAAAAAACATGTTTCTCCGCCCCAAACACCACCGGCGACGGCATCCTCACCCTCCAAAGCAGCTTTGACCGCTCAACTCCTCTCCTGAAGCCTTTAGAGGGCTTCAGATAAGCCCCAAATGGCCAAGAGAGGTTGAAAGAAATCAACTGGGACCGCATCGGGTACTTGTCAAACCCCTACCACAAGGGGACACGCTTTTCCCCGAAATGCAGTTCGAACCTCTGAACATACAGGACTGGTACCGCTCTGCAACCGACTGCCAAAAGAAAAACACCTCGGGGGGGTCCCATACCGGCATGGGGTACTGGGCCCAAACCGCCCAATGGGGGTGGACACGCCACCCTGTTTGCCTCGTCAAAAGCGGTCGCTCGGACCAAGGCGGTCGCTCGGCGCCTCAAGGGACAGGAGAGGCTTCCTCCACGAGTCCAAAGTCCAAAGGATCGATGACACAAGTCCTGATCCTCCGCCCACATCTGATGTCGTTGGAAGTGCCACTTCTGCGCGGAAGAAAGTACGGATGGATGGGTGGGTGGATGGATGGATGGATGGACATTCAACAGTTATGTTGAAAATGAATGAAAATAGCATACATGGATCTACCTATAATAGAACATCTCACTAGTAGTGGAAGAAAGATCTGACCCTTTGAGACTTTGGGGGCGGTCTTTTTCGATGAAAAGGCGGACATGTTGCCGTATCATGGTCCACCTGAGTGATCTCTGGATCATCAACAACCAAAAAGTATGTTCTGTGTCTTATCTAATTTGAGGTCATGTCTGGGCTCTAGGCAAGTATAACTGTGCAGTTTCCTATCTTTTCCTATCAAAACAAAGGTCATGTCTGGGCCCCTCGGCCGATGATGCTGCTTTTTCAACTGCTTCGATGGGTTCTTTTGATCCGGCAAGGAGCTGCGTCTTTGACTTCAAGTGAACCATGTGTTCTATAATTATGGCCCAATCATACCCAATCCAGTAAAGTGAAATCCAACTGACCTGCAGGGTGTGATTCGATGGCGGCTTTTTTGGTGCAGCAAGTCCTAGAACGAGACAGGCCTTCTTCTAGAACTGGCCTTTCAGATTCCCCACAAATGAAGCCGTCCAAAAGAAACATCGTCGACCCTTTTTGTGATAGTCCGGTGCCCGCTCTCGTCTTTCCCCGTACCCTATGGGAACAAAAACCACCGGGAAAATAGACGTGGGCAAACAGAATCCCTATTAACTCTTAACCTTACGGATGATCTTGAAAGGAAAGTCCCCTTCCATGATCCTTACAAAAATACCAAATCCATCCAAAAAAAAAATCCGTGACACTTAACTGGGAAGGTCAAAAAGACCGCCCTTTCGCCCTGTTCCGCTGGTGGTTTTGACACCGGTGGAGACCGTGGACACCGCCTCGATCTCGGTCTCGTAGACACCACCTTCCGGAACGCCGGCACCTGCCCGGAGCGAGCGTGGACGCGTCCGTCTGAAGCCCGCCTGTCTGAAGTCCACTGAAAACGGGAAGATGCCGATAGAGACCGAGAGATCCTAGATCTTCCAACTGTGCCGTTCTGCATGTTCTGCCTCATCTATAAAAACCAGCCCAAACGGCCAAATTTGTCTTGACAGTTGGAAGATCCAGGTATGTGTTCCTTCCGGGTCCAAGCATATTCCAAAATATGCATGGTCTGACTTCGTGACACCAACAGAAACGTCCTCTACTTCAGTGGTATATGTTTTGATCGTTTTGGTACGGGGAAATTGCTTGACCGCCGAAAGTGAACAGAATAGACTGGGAGGTCGACCTACTGGGGATTAAGTGGTCCTGGTTTCGACCCACAGCCATGTCAACATCAGCTAAGAAGTCTAGCCCACCAATCTGACTGCTTTTCGAGCTTCCATTCCATCTGCACGCACCTCTCTAGGTCCTCCCACCACGCCCACCACGCCCACCTGGCGCCGGGCATAAGAAGCTTGGCGCGGCTCTGGGCGTGTCAGGACTTTCCAGAAGTTGCCGACGCTGCCGCGCCAGGGACACCTGCCGAGCCAACCACTCCGTGGGGCCTCGATCGCCGATCGCCGTCCTGGCGCCGTCCGACGCGTTCGTTCCGTCCGAACATTCCATGGTTCGCTCGAGTTGGTGGGGCTTGGTTCGAAAGGGAGGGACGGTGCGATTCGTCCCTGCGCCCCATCTGGGTTCGATCGGGTGTTTGCCTTCGTTCGCGCTTGGATCCCCCAACGTCAAAGAAGATCAAGTTGGATCAAAAACCCGGGCCTGAAAGGGAACTTGCGCTGCAGCTAAGGAACAATTCATGAATCGTCGAGTTCTGGACTTCACATTCATCTCTCAGGCCCACATTGGCTGTGGCCTCCCAACCCTCCCAGTCTCATCCGCCTGGGAGACCAAGAACGCCTCCCGATCGGTCTCTTCGTAGCCCCGTGGCCGAAGCGCCTTCAGCGCCTGGTAGCTGCGCAGGACACGCCGGATTCCGGGTCCTTTCCCCCGGGGGTGGGACCTCTGTGACGCTACGAACGGGGCTCCTGGCACATGCAATCGGTCCATCTGTCGTTGTAACGAAATGAGTATATCATGGTCCCATCGGTATTCTTGGACCCATCGTCGCAGGACCGGGTCCATCGTTCTCCCAGTTGCTTTTCCAGAACCGTTCGTAGCGTCCGATCGCTCCTAGTAAGGCTAGGAGCCCCGTTCGTAGCGTCCTTGCTCCTAGTAGCGATGGCAGGGAGCCCCTAGTAGCTCCCTTCGAGCGCATCGTCAGTCCGTGTGAGAGGGACGTGGAGGGCCTCCACTCGCCCGCACCACCCCACAGGTTCGCGCCGGGGCCTCTCCCAGCTGCTTTCCCACGAAGTCCTTTGGGGGCAGAGCTCCGTCGACCGGCCATTGCGTTGGGATGAGTGACGTCCCAACGGCGGACCGGGGAAAACTGTTGCGGAAGGGTACTTTTTGGTGGAGAGCACTGTTAACATGTCTCTAGCCTTTCAAGAGCTTGTTATATCATGTTTTAAAATGGTTGACCTGGTGATGTTTTTATGGTTTATGGTTCAACGATGTGAAGAGGTGCTATGGGAACCGCCTTGCAATTCATGTCCGAGTCTGGCTCCTGGCTGGCCGTCACCAAAGCCGACAGCAGCACAGCTAGCTCTCCATGTCTCATGGCCAGGCATGTCGATGGGCATGAGATGTTGCACGCAGGCTTCTGTAAACCATGTTGATGGGCTTGTCATTACAAACTAGAGACAAATATACCAGGACACCCTAAAGGGGTGTGTGTTGATAGCCCCTTAGAGGTTAAGGGGTGTCCATTAACCACCCCTTGTGGGTCCTAGTATTTATATAAATGCCCGCAGACTCCATTCTGGGGGCAATGACTAAAAGTTGCTTTTCATGCCTCAGGTTAAAAACAAAAGCACACACACTGAGGAAGTTCTATAGGTAGAACGGTATAATGTTCATTTAAATGGTGTCGCCTTTTAGCCATGGGGCGTTGAAGGTTCGACATCTTTAAGGTTCATCGTCTTAGTGGTGTCTGGGTTCCGTGTCAAGTTTCTGTGTGCATAGACTGTCGAGTCTGCGCCCCGAAGAAGGTGAAAAGACACAGCACCCGTCGGCATCTGCCCTCTGAAATCAGAGGTGGTCTTGAAATGACGGAGTGGTGCTGCCTCTGTGGGAAGTTGCAAAGCTGATGTTATGTGCTGTTTCACCCCGGAACTGGTCAGTGGCAGCGGCAAATTGCGGCAATATATGGACATGAAGTGGTTGGGCTTCACCTGTTTCACTTCTCAGTTCCGTCCTTTTCCTGGGTCGCCATAGCATGCATGAGCTTGGCTCTCATCTCCTGTGTCACCTTCCTTCTCGCCTAGGAGCTCCAGGGGCTCTCACAACGCTTGAGTGGCCAAATGCGAGGGGCTCGAGGGGCTCACTGCGAGTTCTGCCGATGCATCCTTCAGTCAACACTTGGGTGTGTGAGACCTTGTCACACACTCTTTCAGTGCAAAACATGTCTTTCATTGCAAAACCATTGCTGCTGAACTGACATCGGCTCGGGGTTTAAGATTCACAAGTGTTTGCGTGCAGGCTGAATGATTACAGTAATGGGCTGAATGAGACCTCCGATGCCTCTTCCCGGCTCTTTGTTTCTTGACCAAGTGATCCTGTCAGGTCAGTGGTGGCTCGAGAAAAGCATGTGATGGCTATTGGACCACATAGGATATGCTGCTCGGCTGCTGAACTCTTTCCGGTCCCAACACCCCCTTGCCTTCGCTGAAAGGCAGGGCCCCCACGGAAGCCGAGCACCGAACCCCTCCCGGCTCCCGCCATGCCCGGACGGAGCAGCGCGAGACGCGCTGCGCTGCGCGAGACGAGAAGAGAAGACGCGACCGGTCGACCGATGACGCACACCGAGCTCCGGCACCAGCGTTTCCATCTCGCCCGTGCAATCTTCATCCACCATACTAAAGACCTGGACAGAGCAGTCCCAAAGCGCTCAGGCTTAGCGCCAAAAGCGCCAAAAGCGCTCCGGTCGCCGGAGTTTGGGTGGGTGTGTGACTTGGTTTTTTCGGAGGCCAGGTTCGGAGGGATTGTTCAGATTTTTGGAAAGAAACACCTATGGAGGTGCTAAGACAGAAGAGCTTCTTGGTTACTTTCTGTGGGATTCTGTGGCTGTTCGTGTCATGCAAAGTAGTGCATCATGTCCAGGACTTCCGCTAACGAACAAGCTCAAAACCCACAGCAACCCGCCTTCCACAGCATGTGGTCCAGCTTGTCATCGACCAAATCCACACAGCCCGCCATAAAGAGCGTGTATGAAATCTCGCAGCGGCGCAGGGGTCATCGGGGTAGAAGCATAGAGTCTTCAACCCTAGGCGCTTCCCCGTTTCCAACGGAGCTGGATCCCACCAGTGGCGGGGTGGCATTCTCGGAAAAAATCCCAAGAATGAGGGCAGTGAAAAGATCTTAACCTGTTTACAGGAAATGGGACACACCCAAAGTCTCGGCCAATTTGTGTGTGTTCCTCACTCGCCGGGCACTAGTGTCCTCGCTTCGCGAGAAAACGTGGGGCTTCTAAAGTGAAAAGGGGTGAAGATTTGGAATGATATGGTTTAACATGTTTCAACATGCTTTAACCTATCAGGAGTTACAAAGGGGGTGCTATGGAGCCTGTCGGGGTGCCCTCAACATCACATCACATCGACGCCCCACAGCCGATGGGACGAGCCACACCATCCCGACATGATCCGAGATGTGACTCTATGGTACTTCGAAGTACACTACCTACCTAGCTAGCGGTACTACCTAGTGTAACATGTGCCCAAATTGACCTACCTAACCAGTTGTTCCTTTTTTGTTCCCCGAATCGGGGCGTGCACTGTTCGGTCGTTCGCCCCGCATCGCTAAGGCGACCTAGCAGTGGCCCACATCACGCCTATAACAGAGCCTGCAAAGAGTGATGGACTCCTTTCTTCTTCGCCCCCCCCATCTCTCTTCGCGGCTTGGGTTCGATCGTGGCCGTCCACCAATATGTCGCTTTCACATGTCCTAATCAATTAATTGATGAGTTGGTGTCAGGGAAATCTGCAGGAAAGCCTGGTGTTCACCCCCCAAAAGGATGGCTTTCCTGTAGATGTTCTCTGAAAAAAGTAGGTGGGGAGAGACACACGGGGCTTCCGTCGGGAGACACGGAAGATACTCCCTGGCAGATCGAACATGGCGGCACGCAGCTTTCATGGCCAAACCACCGTTCCGTTACAGTTTGTTTTTGTTGCCCAGGAAGACAACGGATCAAGACATCTGTGGCAGATCTTCGGCAGATGCACATCCTTTAAAGCTCTTTGCCTTGCTGACGATCACACACAAACTACTAGCTTCTGGCTACTAGTAGCGATGCCCCTGCTAACTAGTAGCTTCTTGCTGCTAGTAGTAAGGCCCTTGTTACTAGTAGCGATGGCCTTCAGCCTTCTCCGAGAGACCACCCCACCCACAATGTCGGAGATGGCGGCTGGGCTCTACCAAACCTTTCCAAGGGTTTAACCCAAACCCTCCATAATGGCCTTATCAATGTTGTAGGTTACAGGCCATCGCTAGTAGGTTGGAGCCACCGACCGACCCACCGTCCCGCGCCTGGCCCGTGCCTGCCACGTCCAGCGCTCGGAGCGCCTCGAGGCCACCGGGGAAAGGTCCGAAGATGTTGGTCAAACGGATGGTCTCTGTCGGGCCCTATCCTTTACTAAGTAGTAGTGGTCGACTGGGGAGTCGAGAGAGAACACTTCGAGGGTTCGAGGGTTCATCTTGAACCCTCGTGATGGAAAAAAGGGGACCAATACATCGAACAGCATGTGCCACCGTCTGCTGCGTTGGGACGTCTTCTTTGGGACGTCTGCCAGGAACCCCACATGAAGAACCGCTGAACTTCTGAAGAATCGCCGGTGAGACCGAGCCCGACATGTCCAAAGCTTGGAAGTTTCTGACTGCCTGGGTTTTGGGCATGTTGAGCCTATTTAGATCTTCCAACGCAAACTGCCCGCCTAACTGGGATGGTCTTGGTAGATGGAAACTGATGAAACGTGTGAAATGTTGCACAGGACAGGAAGATCCAGGTTTAAACTGGCATATGTATACTTCTTCACGACGTGTATAGATGCAACGTGTTGTATGGATGGGGCATGATTTCTTTGGAGCTTCTTCCACGTGTGGAGCGAAGGATTTCATGCTTTCCTCGAAGGGTCTCACCATCACACCCCATCCACTTCCTGTCACGTCCTCCGACGTCCCGGCCCCCCCCCACGCCTGCTCCGAAGTGGCCGCCTGTTCCGAAGTGGTGTCACACGTGAGGCACCAAAACGGCTAGAACACAGTTGACCTCCTATTGACCTCCTTTTTGAGACCAGCACCTTCATGTCGGAGTCACCTGGCTGGGTTCGCCCCAGCCCACTACCAGCGCGGGATCTCCAGGTCCAGGACACCCCCTTGGATTCAGGTCCAGGTGTCCACTTCAGGTCATCTTTCGGAGAGTGGGATCCTTCAAAACAGAGATCACCACGAGTCCACTTCAGGTCCTTGGAGCACATCGCACCACGCACAGGCCGGGGGCATGCGGCGACCTTCTCGCCCTTCTTCGCGGGGCGAGCGTCTTCGCTCCCGGCTCTCTTCTGGGCTTCGGTCTTCCCAAACGAATGGGGCGTCTTCCCATGGGATGACGTGCCAACCAAGTGGGCAATAAGGATGAATATGGAATAGAGAGGTCAGTCGAAATGAAGGCCCTAAGCGTCCAGAACCATTCGTTGCCTCGGATCTGCTGCGTGCGGCCCCCAGTTCAACAACCCTTCTCGACAGTCTGGTTTCGTAGGAACTCACCTCCGTTCGACCATGTTCCGGAGGTACCTGGACCGGATTTATACCTACATTAGGTTGGTGCGCGATTGGAGGTCTCTCGACCCCTCTAGTTTTGATCAACCAGTTCCGTCAAGGGCCACCAGGACCCACACTCACGGTGGGCCGCCAGGGAAAAACCTGAAAAGGTCTATGAGTCTGGAGACCCATAGGCCCCCCCCATGTCCGTGGATTGAAAAACCGCTGAAAGGTTGAAATATCATCCAGAGTCCCTTTGGAGTCAATATCCTTTTTTCGAAAGAGGCAAAGATCCTAACTACGAATCCATTACCCTACCAAATGGAGTCTTGTTGATCCTCCCAAAAATCGCGGTCAACTCAGGTTACATATATCCCAGACACTCCATGGGACTGCCATCTATGCGGCCTACATTGACCCCCAGTCAACCACCCCTGGTGGTTTCTCGGCAGTCCGCCATGGCAGTCTCAGGTCCGGGTCGTGTCTGGGTATACCTGCACTCCTTTAAGAAGTACGGATGGAACCCTGAACCCTGAACCTATCCATGGGAGTGGGATATATTGTTGCTAGTAGCGTCCAATCGCGCCCGGCTTCGTCGAGTTCCCCCGCCGAGACGGACAGCTCGTGGAAGACGGCCTGGGGTCGGAACCGGCGACCGGACCGGACGAGTGACCGGTATAGAGGCGGGTTTTACCGAGAAGGCGGAGGAGGAGGAGGAGGAGGAACCAAGAACCTGAAATCAGAAACCCCTGGAGGTCCAGCCAACTATCTCAAAATGGTCCCAACTAGATGACCCGATTTGAGGAACTTCCTTGGGTGAGACCCAAAATCGTCGAAATCGACTTCTAGGGAGACGGATCCGTCCGATTATGTGGAGGAGTGTCCGATTCACACTTCGCCTGGCGCCCAAAAAAGACTCGGTCCAACTGGAGGACTCGATAGTGTATGGACTCTATAATCATATCCCCCGAAGAGGTTTCTCAATTCACTTGGGGGAGGTTATTAATCAAGAGTCCACATCAACATATGACTCATTGAGGTCTAGATTCCCTCCGCTCGCTCCACTCCCCTCCCCTCCCCTACCAGCGTCGCGCCTCCAGGTCTGGAGCTGCGATGTACCCACTCCCGTGCCGATCGTAGCGTTGCAAGGCCGCCCGGATGAGACGGAGCCCACCTACCTGGCCGCCGGCGCGGAACGGCGGAACTTCTTCAGGTCGGACCCGGTGCGGAACGCTTCAAGCGGGGAGTCGAACCGGGCGCCTTGATCTCGGAAGCCACCACATTCATCAGCACCTGCGCTGAAGGGTGTGAATGGGCTTTTCGAGGAAAGAACGAAGTCTCGCCACGTTGATGGGTAGACGAGTTCCCGAAGCGAAGCTAGGGGGCAGGAGGTCTCCCTATACACACTCAGGTTGAAAGACACCAGCTTTTTGCACACCGGAAGACCTGAAAGTATATGTTGATGTTTGGAGCTGTTGCATTGAAGAAGAAGAAGAAGAAGATGAAGAAGACATCGTGTCAATCGTTTCACGGAAAATGACCCAGTGATCATAGATCGATCAGATCGATCCAAAGATTGTTGCGCTCTTTTTGGTCCTGCCATGCATGGCCATGCCATGCTGGTCCAGGCTTGGACAAGAGAACTGACCAAATCATCAAAACCTTCTCATGCTGTTAGCATCTACATAGGACTGACTGGTCTACCCCTTGGGGCATGTCAGGTATTTCCATATTAACATGTAGTTCTTCATGTCCCTCCCATCTCTGATCCTCCCAGGCCTGAAAGAACTTGGACTGGGCATGGGACCTGTTCCAGGCAGGACGGCGCAAAACCGTCGCTTCCGCCAGGGGCGCCAAACACCGCCCACGGCAGCAGCCCGACAGCGCTAAACGGCGAAGGCTTCTGAAAACACCGAACGGGCCCCGCTTCCAGCTTTTTTTTTCACTCGTCCTTGGATTTCAGAGTGGAATCCCAGTTCCTTCAACCCTGGTAGGGTTCCGCACTGCATAAGGGCACTGAAGGTCTCAGGCAGCAACGGCCTAGGCCCAAACGGGTTCTGAACGAACATGTTCGCCAGAGGAAGTCCGACATCGATTTGGGTGTATATCAAAATCGGCGGGGCTCCCAGTTTGGCCCGGTGGAAGACGGAAAATCGACCGGCGCACTGATTGGTGTTCCTCCCACCCCGGCAAGCCCAGGGCGACAGGAAAAAGAGACCAGTTTACCCAGCCAGGGCCAGGGTGTCTCCCTAGTAAGGACTCTTTTGGGCGGTGGCGGCGGTACCTGATCTGAAAAAACCGCTGTGGACTGTGGACCCTGAAGCGTCACCGACTTCGGCCACATGCTGATCCGGATAGTTGCAGGCACCGAAAACCGCATGCGCGGTGTGTTTGGCGCATGTGGAACCGAAACTGCCGGGGATGGTCAGATGTCGCTCCAGGGGTGGGCTGCGGATGTGATGCTCATTGGGGCCTAGAGTCGCAACTTGCTCTCAGCACGGAGTGCATCTCGGCAACGTCCTGCCGCGGTGCATCTCGGCGGAACAGCGCTTCGCGCCGATCAACGGCCCGTGGCATCTGGGCGCCCCACTCGGGAGAGGGCTCCATGGCTGAAGGAGATAGCCAAGGATGCCTTGCAGTGTTCAAAACATCGTATAAAAGTAACATGCTCTTATAATATGCAAGCAGGCAGATGTACATGGATACACGGGGGGGGCATCCATGAAACAACGGGTTTAGGATGTCTTGATGTTGGCTAAGGTATATATACTTACTTACAGTAAAATGATGGGGCTGTAATCTGAGGTGCAAGAGATCAAGCATGGAACTCGAGAAGGGTAAGTCCACCATCTCCGTGTCAGATCATGAAAAAAGCGTAGAACCTGAGTGACCAATTTTGGATCATCAACCCAAAATATGATCTTGTCCTATCAAAACAGACCTGCAGAGGTGGGTCAGAACCCTATAGACTATCCTAGTTCGGTACCCCTTGTGGGGTCCTAGCTCAGGTCACTTAACCTCTGTAGGGAGGTCATGTCCGGGATCGGCGGCATCCCATCCGAACGTCCGATCCCACCAACTCGACGATTGGCGCCGAAGCGGACGAAATGGACGAAGCGTCCTCAGGTGGTGAGACCCTTTTTCGCATAATAGTACTGATAAGACTGAAGATGTTCACATATCCTCCAATCTCCATCTTCAGGAAAGAAAACGAAAAAGACCCGACTTACTCGACTTTGTGGCCGGGCAAACCTTTTTCTCCGCCAAAAAAGAACATGTGTCTCTTTTTGGTGTCCAACGGTGCCTTAAGCAATCGGAGGCCGTCGGACGGGTGAGCTCATCCTGTGAAAGGAACGTGTGGTCGGCCGATGCGGACGCAGCTGGGACGCAGCTGGGGACTGCTACATGTGAGTTCGGTCCAAAACGAACCGGGGGTGTTTTGACCTGAGTGAACTGGTTCCGATCACTCTGAGCCGGGTTTGGACCGTGCTGGTGAGTGAGAATAGCCGAATCGAGCCGTGGAAAGGAGCTCGTTTCCATGGCTCCACCTGTGAGAGTCAAGTCATGCAGATCAGTTTCGAGATCATGATGTTCAGCCTATATAATTGTAGATGATTTCCTTAAGAAAAAGCAGTGGATTGTAAACCCTCTTCATATGGTTCTCCATTACTATAAGAGTCTACATGACATCCATTCTGCAATTCTCCAGTCGACACTCTTCACCCCATTCACGCGTGCGGCATACACTCCTTGTCCAGCATGCGCTTGCACAGCGCCAGTGCTGCTGTTGACACCTCATGCCAGTGAGGTCGTGCCATGAAAGGCGCAGAGGCGCGCTTCCGGAGTCCAACCGCCGATCAGCCTTTACATGGCTTTACCAAACAAAGCATTGTTTTGCTACAGATTGAAAACACTACAAACACACTACAAATCCCGGTCAACGTAACAATTCTTTGTCAAAAGGTCGAATGGAAGGCTAAGGTGTTGCAAAGCCAACGATGCGTGTGTACATGGAGGATTCCAAAGACGAGGGGATGGTTCCAATGGCCCCAAATACCCCGAGAGCGGTCCCATTCACCCCTCCCGTCTCCCCCAAAACACCTCGACTTCGAGGTCCGTCCCTCGTCCCGTTGCGCGAACACGTCAGAGAGCGAAGCCCCCAGCGAAGCAAAGCTATTCGATGCGATGTTCGTCTGATGCGGTTCCCCTAGGCTTCCAAGACCATTTAAACAATGGTTGACCTGGTTTTTGTAGAGTAGAATCCTTAGTTGATTCGGTAAAGCCTATTAAACTAATGGTTGTTGGAAGCCTAGGGGTTCGGTGGTGCCCCAACAGTCGTCGGACTGGACTTCGGAGAGGAAACCGATCTTCGCGGTGGTCGCGCGCCCGGCAGGCACGGGGGGCGTGACCCGGGTCACGCGGTGACCGTCTGGTTTTGCCAATGCCGAGTTCGAAGCTGAAATGGTTGGAACCCAAGATGGCACGAAAGAAAATAAGAAAATCCCAAGAACTCTTTGAGTTGATTGAGTTGATTGAGATCCTTTTTCAAACAGTTTCGTGTTCGGCCGCTGCTTACGTCACTGGCGCCACTCAGTCCTATGCGTCCCAACGAGATCGTGTTCGACGGTCAACACCACCGGCTAGGCCCACGGCGGTCCGAAAGAGCTGCCTTGGCCAAAGAGATTTACATCTCTCCGAAGACCAGTCTCATTTGATACCCCTGGGAGTCAAGTCGACTATAACAAGAATGGTCTGACGAACAGGGACCTGAAAGGGAAGCTCCTTTACTTCAGCCGGTCAAATAATAGTCTTTGGACTTCTAGGGTATCTACATCTTCAGTCCGATTTCTCGTGCCATCTGTCTATTGATGAGTTTTAACATGACAAAGGCGTGATTGGTCACATCTCTCTTCAAAGACGTGAGATGCTTTCACCAGGCACTGAATGAACTGCTGCGTCTTCCGGTCTGTTTCGAAAAAAAGGGGCAGCGCCCAAACCGCACGACGTGGACGTTAAGCCCAAACCCCAGCCGACCTCTCGCAGTGAACCTCTTCCATCCAATGGTCCAAAGGGTGCAGGGTCTCCAGAGATCCAGGTGCCCCCGACTTCCTCACGTTCACTCAGGCTGCCAAAGCATTCCTGTCCCAAACACTCCATAGCAGCACCCGACTCGACAGGTCACCGGTTCGACCTGAGACAGGGTCCAACAACTAACTGCCTGGCCAGGAGGGTGGTGGTATGGGACTGGACATGTTGGTGCCAATCAAGTGACCCCTTTAATCAATCCACCCACCACCCCGGGCCGTTTCTCGGCCAATCTTCCAGTCCGCAGGTCATGTCTGGCTTTGGAACTGCTGCTTTTCAACGTTCCGACCTCGACCCCCCCTCCAAGGCTTTCACCAGTCAGGCTCTTGAGTGGTAATAGCATCCACCTGAGCTCAGCTCCAACGTGACACCGGGGCGGCGGTCGGAAATCCGGCGGGGCGGCCCGGATGTCCTGCGAGCTGGTGTTCCGATCTTGGGCAGGTCTGAGCCTCCTCAAAGGGCTGGTGCGTCCGTCTCTCGATCGCCCCTGCAGTAAGTAGAAGAGATAGACCGAAGTTGATGCGCTCAGGAGTCCCTCGACTGGTGTCTGTCAAAAAGAACCGCTTCCCAACGAATTCGTTTCCACCCGGTCAATGAATTCTCAGTTCACAAGGTGTAAACCACTCATACAATGATCCAATGTCATTCTCCCCTGTTGATGAATCAAACCCCTCTATACCTGGATGGTCAAACACCTGCCAGTCTGGGAGGACTTCTGAATCATCCGTCACCATAGAAATGCTCGGGACACCTGAAGATCTCTCTCAGCCACTTCGTCGCTTCCCTCCCAATCCCTTTTCTCTGCGAAGGCGATGCTTTCGCCCGCGAGGGCTCCTGCGCGTTTCTCGAACCGAACCGAAAAGAAACGCGACTGGGCCATGATGGGCCGGGCCCGAAGAATACTACTCGGGCGAACTCGACCAACTCGTCCAGGGGTCATGGCGCCCGGACACCCTGGTTTTTCTCACCCGGAATGCACAGAATAGACAACCTGGGAGGTCAACCTACCAGCTAGGTCTAGGGCTTTTAAGACCGCCTTTTCTCTTCACCCTTCTTCACTGCTTTTTCAGACCGATTCGTGGATGTTCGTTTGCCAAAGGCGACTCCAAAAGCATCACGAAGAGTCCTGCGCCAGCGAGCGAGCGAAGGGCTGCTTGGGGCCCTTTCGAAGAAGGGGCCTTCTCGCGGGCAACACGGCCAACCCGAGCTCCTTTCCCTCTTCATCTTGATCCTCTTTTAAGGGGTCTCATCAGATCCAGAGGACAGAAGGAGGTCGAACGCTGGGAGTCCAAAACCATTTGAGGTGATCCGAGTTCAGGAACTTCCTTTACTTCTAGGGGTCCCTCAAATAGTCGAACTATGTCGAACTGGACTTCTGGGGTCCAGCTTTTGAGGGACCTGTTGGGCTGTTGTCACCGAACGCAGTGGGTCGAACCACAAGATACGGGGCACCGATTCCACCAGTGGGTGCTGTAAATCTGCCATCCTTGGGGTGTCCAAGTGGTGGAAGCCCAGTGTAGGCATGTGGGGTAGATCTTCAAGAGGATCGTCCTGTCATCATTTAAGCATATTTAGGCTAGGTTCACAAGTGAAATGTACCCAACTCTCACGGCCACTTCGGTGTTCGGTGTAACCAGCTGAAAGTGCGGAACTTTCAGTTCTCACGCTTCGAGAACGGAGCACCAAACCCCAAAAAAGCCCGGCCCGGCCCGGGATCACCAGCTGAGGGGCTCTTCAATTCATCTCCCCCAACTCTCCGGACCCTCAAGGAGCAAGGCTGTTGAGGGGCCCCTTCGACCCCTGGTGAAGCCTGCAGGCTTCCACCCCAAACCGATGGCTCGGCCCCCTTCGGATCCTCCGGTCATCTCCGGTCCCCCCTGCAAAAGCATCGGCGTCCCCGCGAACCGGACGGCTCCGAACCGGCTCGGACCGCGAACGGGACCACGTCTCGTCTCGTCGGGTCCTCGCGGCGAAAGGCCACGTCGAAGATCCGGTGCCTTGGATCGGCTCCCGCAGACTCAGCGGTGCGGAAGCAGGCGGAAGCGGCGGAGCTTCGGCCGGAAGCGGGCGGTGACATCGGAAGCGGTCGGGGGGGGAGGAGGAGATCTTTTTGGGGGTCTCAATGGATCTCAATGGATGCCACCTGCATGGAAATATGACATCTGGAGACAATGAGATGTCTATATATGGTTGATATGCCATCTGTTGGTCTGATGATATGCCATCTGTTGATCTATAACGATATGCCACCTGTTATTGGAACTCTATGTCATCTGTTTGGTCTAATGATATGCCATCTGGCCTAGCTTTATGCCATCGTCGGTTGGTCTAGTTCTATGCCGGTCTCAGATGCTCGCCATCGCTTGATTCCTCGCCGTTCTGCAGCACCGAGAGGCCCGGTCTTCTGCGCAAAGTGGCGCACCTCCTCGGAGGTGTCGCTGCGTTGGCTCAACTCCTGTGGAGTTTTGCCGAGTTCACGGCGGCGCCAACATGGCAAGGCAAAAGAAGAACTGACAAAAATGGTTCTTTCATGATTGTTTAATGATGTTTTCTGTGTTATTGTTTAAACGCCCAACGTGGCAGGTCTTTCACGCTCCTGTTGCTGTTATGTTGTTGGTGAATGATGATGTTTCATTTGATGAGCGAGGGTCGGACAAAAATAAAGGACCCCTACGATCGTTGGGGCATTCCAATCCTATCAAAAGAACTTGGCCACAACCTGCCCCCAACGGAGTTTCACCAGTTCAAGTCAAACAAGAAAGATCCGCGAACGAAGCTCTGTTCAACCATCTTTGACCAAGCCTAAAAAGAAAACGAAGAACTGCAAAAAATAGGATGAACAACACAGAGATCTTAATACAATATTGATTGATAGGATTAGAAAACAACACCCTTGCCACTCATAACCTCTTTTATAAAAGTAAAGTAATCTTTAAAAAAAAAAAAAAACATTAAACAATAAATAAACATATGCAAAAAGACAAAAACACCCTGGGATGGATGAAACCCCACCTCCAGCGCCCGGAGCAAATCCAGATCTTTGATGAGCACCGTGTCTTTGGGCTTATCCTGGCCATCCCAAAGTCGGATGCATAAGACCACGCCGGGGCACCTTGGAGCCTTAAGCGGAGCAAAGCACCTGTACAGGTGTACGACACACATGACCAGGTCAGCAAACACGGGGGGGGGGGTGGATTATCAGGCTATCTGAAATCACATGAGCCGTTGGACAGCCAGGCCGCCCGTGCCGGCGCGGACAGCGGCGTCGACCCCAAAGGCCCCGAAGGCCCTTGTCTTTGCGCAGCAGCCAGCATGTTTGGTCGCCTTTTTTTTCCGGGAATGAAGGTCATCTCTTAAAGATGTCCGACTGCGTCTGTGATACGGTCCACCGTATAGCCATTTTAAAAGTAAGCACGTACATTGCTGTAAGGACAACCACCTGTGCACTCATTTTACATGCATTCAGAGAGATATCCTTTCGAAACGGTCGCAGCCGCTTTTGCCGGTTTCACCATGTGGTCCTTCGCGCATGCGCGCACCCGGGCGATGGATCGCCAGAGCTTGGCGGCGAGCTTGGCGGAGGTGGAATGAGGGACAGCCGTTTGCCACGGTCCATGTACATATTCCTCACGACGCACCGCCACGGACGGCGACTTCTTCGGTGAACTCAGACGACCCGCAAAAAATGGAAGCCCCTCGTCGACTCTAGGCACGAACAAAGAACGAGGACCTTTGACACCTTGGAAAAAAGAGTGAGGTCTCTAATTACATCTATAATTACTAATTATTCACAACCACCCCCCCCAAACATGAATTGTACAAACCTCTTCATAAGGCGGCTTATTGGGGTTATTGGTCCAGAGTCTCTACGTGATGATCTCCGATACAACCAAAGGGATCCGAACTGCCGAAGCCGCAAGAAAAGCCGTGACCTCTTTGTGGACAGTTTCGACCTGAGAAGGTATGACCTTTGGGGAAAGCTAGGTCCTTTGCACGAAGGCACCTCTACCCAGTCAGAGCATCAGGTGGTACTCTGAACCTTGCAGGTCTGGACCTTGGCACCTACATCTTTCAAAAGAAGAGGGTGGCGGGTGGATCCAGCTCGCTTGGAGGGGGTTGGCCCTGGCTCGCTTGGCCCTTCGGTCGTTTGACCGGCGAAACTCACGGCTGAAACGAGGTCTTTGGGGATGCGGAAGCTCAGCTGAAACGAGGGGTTTTGGGGACCCACTTGAAAAATATGAGTCAGAGGGTCCAATCATCCCCAAGTATCCCCAAGTAAGGGTTGAAAATAAACATATCCGAAACCATCACCTATAGTTAATGTTACTTACCCTTTACATGTCCCCATCGCTTTAGCACAGCATAACCGTTAGGCCTTTTCTGGCGCATTCGTACTCTCCGAAACCATCGGTATGCACTCCTTGCATCTTTTTTGTTTAGATCGTAGGTGTATCTATACCTGGATCTTCGTTTCCTATGCCAAATGTCCGCCTTTTCATATATCAAACCAACCCAGTTAGGCAGAAATTGGTCACAGTTGGATGTGAGTCTTTCCAAAGTCCAACAAGTTTCCTCCCTTAATCGCGCAAACCCCTTGTGATTTAAGACTAAAAAAAGGAAAAAAACACACGCGCCCCAAAGAAAGGCCGAACCTGAAGGCTTCGGGATGCAAGATCTTGCCCTTCTTCTTCGACTTGGGCTTTCCGATCGCCTCGCTCAAGGCGTTGTGACCCTCCGGAGAGGCCAGGAGTTCGTGGCGGCGCCCGCGGCTCTCGAGGAGCAAATCCTGGCAACGCCGCAGTCGGGTCTGAGGACGTCAACGGCTAGCGTTTGAGTGGTTCATGAAAGAACGGAGACTAGGTATGTTCTTCCAAAAGATCCTTTACTACCATAGTGCTACAAGGAAATTGAACCTAATTAAGTCTCCACGACATTGAACTAAATAGTCTTAGGAGATATGATTTGAAGAGATCAATCTGACCTCCCCTTCCTCCCTCCCCACCAGAAGAAAACACAAAAATCCAAATTCACCTCCTCAATGCTTCGAGTCACCAATTTGCCTTCCAGCTTGCTCATGGCCGATTCCAGCAAACCTTCCAAGACTGAGGACTTCTCTCGAAATTGCTGCTCCGTGGACTTGGGCGCCCAGAGGTCGGGGTCCGGTGAGGCCTTCGGCTGGTCGAGCATTTCGCGCGGCGCCGTCTCTTTGGTCACCACCGGACTGGCCGAGGGGCTCAGGACGGAGTCGAAACCATCCAGCTGGACCTGGAAAACCCGTGGCTTTCCGTGAAGCCGGCACAGTTTGGGCAAGTGGAAGATAGGTGAAGAAAAATGTCAAAAAGAATGG